CATTTACCTCTTCTCCCCATGAGAAAACCTTCGTTTCTCGGACCTGCATTTACCTCTTCTCCCTCATGAGAAAACCTTCGTTTCTCGGACCTACATTTACCTCTTCTCCCTCATGAGAAAACCTTCGTTTCTCGGACCTGCATTTACTCTTCTCCCCATGAGAAAATCTTTGTTTCTCGGACCTACATTTACCTCTTCTCCCTCATGAGAAAACCTTCGTTTCTCGGACCTACACATTTACCTTCTTCTCCCTCATGAGAAAACCTTCGTTTCTCGGACCTACATTTACCTCTTCTCCCTCATAGAAAATCTTTGTTTCTCGGACCTGCATTTACCTCTTCTCCATGAGAAAACCTTCGTTTCTCGGACCTACATTTACCTCTTCTCCCCTGAGAAAATCTTTGTTTCTCGACCTGCATTTACCTCTTCTCCCTCATGAGAAAACCTTCGTTTCTCGGACCTACATTTACCTCTTCTCCCTCATGAGAAAACCTTCGTTTCTCGGACCTACATTTACCTCTTCTCCCTCATGAGAAAACTTGTTTCTCGGACCTGCATTTACCTCTTCTCCCCATGAGAAAATCTTTGTTTCTCGACCTACATTTACCTCTTCTCCTCATGAGAAAACCTTCGTTTCTCGGACCTACATTTACCTCTTCTCCCTCATGAGAAAACCTTCGTTTCTCGGACCTGCATTTACCTCTTCTCCCTCATGAGAAAATCTTTGTTTCTCGGACCTGCATTTACCTCTTCTCCCTCATGAGAAAACCTTCGTTTCTCGGACCTACATTTACCTCTTCTCCCATGAGAAAATCTTTGTTTCTCGACCTGCATTTACCTCTTCTCCCCATGAGAAAACCTTCGTTGTTTCTCGGACCTACATTTACCTCTTCTCCCTCATGAGAAAACTTCGTTTCTCGGACCTGCATTTACCTCTTCTCCCCTCATGAGAAAATCTTTTTTCTCGGACCTGCATTTACCTCTTCTCCCCATGAGAAAACCTTCGTTTCTCGGACCTGCATTTACCTCTTCTCCTCATGAGAAAATCTTTTGTTTCTCGGACCTGCATTTACCTCTTCTCCCATAGAAAACTTCGTTTCTCGGACCTGCATTTACCTCTTCTCCCTCATGAGAAAATCTTCGTTTCTCGGACCTGCATTTACCTCTTCTCCCTCATGAGAAAATCTTTGTTTCTCGGACCTGCATTTACCTCTTCTCCCTCATGAGAAAATCTTTGTTTCCGGACCTGCATTTACCTCTTCTCCCTCATGAGAAAATCTTTGTTTCTCGGACCTGCATTTACCTCTTCTCCCCATGAGAAAACCTTCGTTTCTCGGACCTGCATTTACCTCTTCTCCCTCATGAGAAAATCCTTCGTTTCTCGGACCTGCATTTACCTCTTCTCCCTCATGAGAAAACCTTCGTTTCTCGGACCTGCATTTACCTCTTCTCCCTCATGAGAAAACCTTCGTTTCTCGGACCTGCATTTACCTCTTCTCCCTCATGAGAAAACCTTCGTTTCTCGGACCTGCATTTACCTCTTCTCCCTCATGAGAAAACCTTCGTTTCTCGGACCTGCATTTACCTCTTCTCCCCCATGAGAAAACCTTCGTTTCTCGGACCTACATTTACCTCTTCTCCCCCATGAGAAAACCTTCGTTTCTCGGACCTGCATTTACCTTTCTCCCTCATGAGAAAACCTTCGTTTCTCGGACCTACATTTACCTCTTCTCCCCATGAGAAAACCTTCGTTTCTCGACTGCATTTACCTCTTCTCCCCATGAAAAACCTTCGTTTCTCGACTGCATTTACCTCTTCTCCCCATGAGAAAACCTTCGTTTCTCGGACCTGCATTTACCTCTTCTCCCCCATAGAAAACTTCGTTTCTCGACCTGCATTTACCTCTTCTCCCCATGAGAAAACTCTTCGTTTCTCGGACCTGCATTTACCTCTTCTCCCCATGAGAAAACCTTCGTTTTCTCGGACCTGCATTTACCTCTTCTCCCCCATGAAAACCTTCGTTTCTCGGACCTGCATTTACCTCTTCTCCCCCATGAGAAAACCTTCGTTTCTCGACCTGCATTTACCTCTTCTCCCCCATAAGAAACCTTCGTTTCTCGGACCTGCATTTACCTCTTCTCCCCCATAAGAAAACTTCGTTTCTCGACCTGCAATTTACCTCTTCTCCCCCATGAGAAAACCTTCGTTTCTCGACCTGCATTTACCTCTTCTCCCCATGAGAAAACCTTCGTTTCTCGGACCTGCATTTACCTCTTCTCCCCCATAAGAAAACCTTCGTTCTCGGACCTGCATTTACCTCTTCTCCCATGAGAAAACCTTCGTTTCTCGACCTTCCCCAACCAACTCCGTTACAGAAAATCTCGAGGACATCCAAACTTATCTAATTATGGTCCTAGATAACATGTCTCTACCTCATCCGTCTAACTTACCTCATTGCTTTGAGATGTAACTTTTGTCTCAATAAACGTGTCAAAGTCAAAGTCAGCTCCCTTTCTACACTCAAAGTGACTGCTCCAATTCATGTTCCCTTTATCTACCTTCCTCCCCACTCCCTTTCAACACCTATTCTCTCCTGCTTCATCTACACCCTTCTTCTTGCCTGTTATGCCTTTCCACTTCCTGAGAATACACATGGACTCCCTGGATTGTTTTTTCCTCCAGACATCTCTCCTGAACTGTTCTGTGATCTAATCGCCTTATCCTAACTCCTTCTGTTCCTCTCTTTGTTTCCCTTCCGTTCTTATCCCTCTCCCTCTCTTCCTCTCCTTTTCCCCCTTTCCCTCCCCTCTCCTTCTCCCTCCTCCTCCCCCTCTCCTTCCCCCTCCTCCTCCCCCTCTCCTTCCCCCTCCTCCTCCTCCCCCTCTTCCTCCTCCCTCCTCCCTTCCCCTTCCCCCTCCTTATCCCTCCCTACCCCTCTCTATCCACACCCATCCCAGCCTCTCCTTCTCTACCCCCGCCCAGAACCCCGTGGCGGCCGAGGGGGCAGGGAGTGCGAGACGGGACCCAGGTGGCCCCCAAGTGCCCCCAGGTAGATCTCTTCGCGCTCCTCGTGACGGGGCGCTTGCCTTCGAGGGGAGCGAGGACTGCCTGTACCTCACCGTCTACACGCCGAAGGTTAGTGAATTCATCCCTTTTTCGGGTTGAACGAAAAGGTGAGAGTCTTGTGTACATTTGTTTTCGTAGAGAAACACAAACACATACATGCAGATACACACATACACAGAATTATACATACATACACATATATACACGTACATAAACACACACACACACACACACACACACACACACCAACACACACACACAACACACACACACACACACACACACACACACACACACACACACACACACGCACGCACGCACGCACACACTTCCCACTGCAACGTCCTCCTTCGCTTCCTTTAGAGACTGAATAAAGCACAATATCCTCTAAAAACTGCTTGTCACGGCTGCTTCATGGGCGAGTGTATTTTTTTCTGTTTCGTATAGGTAAAATATTTATATATATATATTTTAGTGTGTGTATCACTGGTAATTTTGTATTTTCTTTTTTATTAACAATTTCGATAATATTTTAGATAATTACCAAGGATAGATTTGTTACATAATAGCAGTTTACCATTAGCCATAAATGATCACTAAAAATGTTGCAAAATTCTAATCCTGCAATGCAAAAAAACATCAGTGTATATCCTTCACACATCAGCTGGCGTGACGAATAGCTTATTGCATGACTGTCACCGCTTGGCATGACCAAAGGGAAATTATTTTTCGAATGTTGTGTTGTTCCTGTTGGTGAAACTTTATAGCTTCATGGGTCCAGGATGTCCCAAAAGTTTTGCGTCAGGAAGTCACGTGTGCACACTTAATACGCCTTGTATGTATGCGTGTGTGTGTATAGATATGAGAAACATGCATATATATACGCACACACACGTACGCATACTCAAAAAATGCATAAACACAGACACAAACGCACGCAAGCACACACACACACACACACACACACACACAACACACACACACCACACACACAACACACACACACACACACACACTCACACACACACACACACACACACAACACACACACACACACAACACACCACACACCACACACACACACACACACACACACACACACACACACACACACACACACACACACACACACACACACACACACACACGTCCACACACACACACACCCTCCTCACTCAGTCCCACGCCCTGAAAGCAACTCTCCCCGCATCCCAGCCTTTCGAGTCCGACCTCCCCGTGATGGTGTGGATCCACGGCGGGGCGTTCATCCTCGGCAACTCGGAGGACTACCGCCCTCCCCTCCTCACCAAGGACGTGGTCCTCGTCACCGTGCAGTACCGCCTCGGGACACTGGTAGGCAGCGCCCCCCCCCCTTCTCCTCCTCTCGCTCGATATTCAAAAGACAGGATGCTTGCCGTGGCCAGTTGCAGGATTATTAAACATGGCTGGCTTCCTCTCTTCCAAGTAAGAGAGAGAGAGAGAGAGAGAGAGAAAAGAGACTGTGGGCCTTAGACTGTATTTTCCTTGATTATTGATTATTAGTGTATTAACTGCCTAAGTTCATCATTATCGTTATCATGATATACATTCTAAAAATCTAACACCATGCCATCATTCAGACACAAAAAAAAATAATTTCGACATTAACAAATAGCCAACAAAGGTCCCTGGTTTTATGTTTCCATATCTAGCTATCTGTCTATCTATATGTCTAATCGTCTATCTATCTATCTCTCTGAATATCTATCTATCTATGAGAAAGAGAGAGGGGGAAGAAAGGGGGAGGAGAAGGAGAGAAAGGTATGACTGTATTTGACCGGTTTCATGTATTTCTGACGAAGATGTATTCGAACCCGGCCAAATACATCTCTTGCATTGTGAAAACATTCATTCTCATTCATACCTTTCTCTCCTTCTCCCTCCCCCCCCCTGCCATGTCGCAGGATTCCTCTCCACGGGGACGAGGCGATCCTGGCAACCTGGGACTGAAGGACCAGGTCATGGCCCTTCGCTGGGTGCAGGACAACATCCGGGATCTGGGCGGCGACCCGGGCAAGGTCACCATCTTCGGGGAGAGTGCCGGCGCTGGCTCCGTGCACCACCACGTGCTGTCGCCCATGGCCGCAGGTGGGGCGGGGGCGCGCTGGGCCGTCTCTTCAGCGGGAATTATTTCTATATAGAAATAATAATAATAATGATATTTTTGATAATAATAATAATTATGATAATAATTTTAATAATGATAATAATAATAATAATAATTTTAATAATAATAATAATAATAATAATCATTTTAATAATAATAATAATAATAATCATTATTATTATTATTATTATAATGATGATGATAATGATAATAATAATAATACAGTTTACTAGCATACATGAATCCGATTCCTGCCCAGGGTTGTTCCAGCGAGCCATCATGCAGTCCGGGCGGCGCTGTGTCCGTGGGCGCTGAGGGAGGACCACAGGCAGGTGGCGATGAAGATGAGTGACCTGTTCAACTGCTCCGCCGTGGACGAGGCTTCCTCTTCGCTGGACGGCGCCGCGCTGGCCGAGTGCCTGAGGGAAGTGCCCTTCGACGAACTCACTGGAGCGCCGAGCAAGTTCATGGCGAGTTGATTTGCGGAGCTCTGTGGGAGAGCGAGTCAGACGCCATTTTTTTTTTTTTTAAGCTTCAGAAATCGGTCGTATAGTTTTACATTCCAACAGAGGCGAGAACTACGCAGTATTGTATGGAGGTTTAGGCCGTGTTGACATAGAAGACAATCAAAGCGACATCTATAGTGGAAGAGGACGCCTTGGTCTCCCGTTCGCGCGCGTAAACACGTTCCGTTCTTGTTATTGTTGTATGCTAGCGAGATGTTTCTACAGCCAGTCGAGTAATTGATCTATTTAAGGGAATACCAAACCAGATTCATCAATTTTGCAGTGTCAAGAAATCTGGTCATTTTATGTCGTAATTCTCTAGTGGTATTGTAGCCATGAGGTGTTTGGAGGAAAAGTTTTTACCAATCAGTATTTTCACTGTCCCTTATTCTTTAAATCTGACTAAGGATTCCTGCTGCCCACCGCCGAGACCTTCTTAATGAAAAACAATGATCTAGCGGTGAATTTTTCACTTCCTGCAAATTCATGGTTTTGAATCCCTTTGGATAATTAGCATTCCTATATAATATATAATCATGGTATCATAAATTCATAAAAATAAATAAATAAATACGAAATAAGAAAATAGGAATTACAGTTTTTCGAGTAATCCTTTGATATAATTCACGTGGGCGCCTCCCCTTCAGGTCATCAACAACGGCCCTGTGGTGATGACCCCAGGCGTGGACGGGGAGTACCTGCCGGAGCACCCCGCCGTTCTCCTGCGGGAGGGAAGGTACAACAAGGTCGACATCATCTCCGGCATCAACCGAAACGATGGCGCCTTGTCAAGCACTCGTAAGGGCATGGGACAAAATTCCAACTCCTCTGGCATGAACAAGTTTATCTTATTGGCATTATTGTTATCACTGCATACCAAACCTTACTTGATACTTACCATATATATCAGGAAGGGGTTCTGCGTTCTAATTTCAAAACTACAAACGACCTCGGTGTTTATGGAGCTCCCTTTGACCCCCGTAGATAGTCCCATCGACCCCTTCGGCGACCCCTGCCCTCAAAGACAGCCTGCTCTTTGGGATAAATAATACCTAGTAAAGTCCAATGGTCGTAATTGTGGTTTATTAGAAGTTGAGATTAGAGGAAACAACAGTTCTTGCATCACCCCCTGTGCCTCTTTGCTTCAGAGGAAGTTTAGAAGTAGCGTGCATTTGCGTCAGAGTGGGTTGTATAGAAATAAAGTGGGTAAGATTAACCCTTAATATTCCCTATAAAGGATGCCATCGCGAGAGACATGAGTAGATATGAACAAATGCGATGGAATAACATCAGCATGAGATTATTTTATATTAATTCTTGGAGGTATTGTCTAGGTCGTGTCTGCGTGCATGTGCATGAGATTATTTTATATTAATTCTTGGAGGTATTGTCTAGGTCGTGTCTGCGTGCATCCTTAGTTAGTCAGGGTTTTGTGACTTTGCATGTGTTTTTAGGCACGCTGAAGATATATCGAGGACTTTCATTCATTCGCTGCGGTACCATATCCTTCAGGACGTCAGCAATTACTGGACGCCATGTCTCTATTCCTTGTTTGTTGTATGGGGTATGCAGCTGTGGTTTGCCCTCCGAACAGTCTTGTTAGACCACTCATATTTTTTTCTCTTTGTCTTCCTCTCGCTCTTGTACCTTCGATCATTTTTTCCAGGGTATATTCCAGGCCTCCTTCTCTTACGGTGTGACCCAAAACAAATTCGGTTGCCTCACTCTTACAATTTTCAGCGTCTTAAATCTTTCCATTTAACTTGAATACTATTTAGCATCTCCACCGGCGAATGTTGGTGTGACAGCAACAGTGGAGGGCAAAGTCGACTTCATATGTGGGCATTTAACTAGTCTCCATAGAAAAGGACTGGAGGCCTTATTTTGTAACTATGATTATGGAACAAGTCTTATATAGAAGTCTGCAGATGCCAAAAGCCACCATTTCTCTCGTCCTCGCACAGCCTACCTGGCCGACCCACCTTTACTGGACAGTCTGTTTGCGAACTTCAGCGTGAACGGACCGATCTCCTTAAACTTCGAGGCCTGGGAGGACGACCCCGATTACCTGACACGGCGGGCCTACCACACTACCTAGGTCCTCTGGCGGTCCCCTGGAGAAGGCCGAGCAGTTCACGCAGGTGAGGACCGCTCGTCACTGCCAGGGGGGGGGGGGGTACTTGTGCTTAAGGGTGACGTGAGATCTCGCAGCGTGTGGGAGAGCCGACTTGGTTCTGATCGTTTAGTCTATGGAAAACTAAACATTGATGCGGTTTTTGTACGTTTTCACACGTGCATACATGTAAATACATACATAGATTAATTCATTAATAAACATAAAAATATCGATGTATATATGGATATATAACATCATATATATATACATATACAAGTGGTTAAAGATAGATTAGGCAGACAAAGATAAATAATTGAATATAAATATATACATCCATACAAATATCCATGTAAATATGCACACACGCGTATACACACAACTATCTTTGTTCTCCAGATGTACACCGACAGAATGTTCAGCACGTGCCACATGGACGCCGTGCAGCACCACATGCGGGATGAGGCTTCAGGGAACCGCGTCTTCGCCTACGAACTCCAGCATCGCGGGGAACACAGCTTCTTTGACGATATATACCCTCTGGGTAACGTTAGCAAAGACTGTAAGTAAATGGTGGCAGCTTTTTTTTTTTTTTTGGCGCGCGTGTTTTTTTCTTGTTAGGGGAAGTTAGAGTAGAATATGTAATAGATAGCAAGCATTTACACTATGATCTGTTCGATGAGTTTCATGTTCAAATTGAAATGTGTTTATTAAGTCGCAAATAAATGAAATACGAAGTACGAGTTGCAAGAGTGTAGCGACTGAGCATCCCGTCCGCCAGGGGTCTGTCACGGAGACGATATTCAGTATCTGTTCTACAAAGAGACCGACAACAAGGACCTGACAAGGAGCGAGGACCGTTTCGTCAGCCGCATCATGGTGGACCTCTGGACCAACTTCGCCTCGGCTGGGTGAGGCTCTGAGGCTTTCCTGGTGTTTCGTTTCAAAAGAGAGCGAAAAAGGCGATTCAGTGAAGTCAGATTTGAATGTAATGAAAGAAAGATGAGGTCTTCCTTTCGTTTGTTTCAGAAGAGAAAAAGAAAGGCGATTCAGTGGTCAAGTTTGAGTGCAATGAAAGGAATTAGAAGAGGTTTTCCCGCCACTTATTTAAAAAAAAAGGCGATTAAGAGAAAAATTTAAGTGTAATCAGAGGAAGTAGATGTCCTTTGTTTCAAGAACCGATGACTAAATCGAATACGAAAAGGAAGATAATCTAACCAAATGAAACAAATACTCGTCAAAATTACAAATAACGAAATATTCTAAAATTCTCCTCAGGCACCCAACGCCCGACCTCTCCCTGGGCTTCATCTGGGCACCGATGACGAGTGCAGTGAGTCCTACCTGGCATCACACCTGCGCCCTTCATGGAGGACTACCAGAACCAAGAGGTAACTCCCGCTGACCACTTTAAACATCAGTCAAACACCTAACACAGCACCTAAGCCAACCACTTTCGGTTCATAATGGAGGTATATAATTTCTTGACGAATATGGGGAATAAAGTAATTCAATATGGTTCTTTTCCACTCTACGTAGGTACTAGAATTCTGGAGGAACATGCCAACGAGGACGAACAAGTTGCTCTACAAGGACCGCTTCACCCCGAGCCCTGTGTACTAGACCAGTGTACTGAGAGAGAGAAAGAGAGAGAGAGAGGGAGAGAGGGAGAGAGAGGGGGGAGAAGGAGAGAGTGAGAGAGATAGG